TTGGCTGGAAAAAATGCTAATGCCGTAATATATTTAATTAATTAACACAAGCAAAGTAGATTAAAGAAACTTTCAGTAGCTTTAAATAGAGCTAAATACATTCAAATGCAGCTGTAGATTTAAAATTCAATATTTCAAATTTTAAAAAGCGTTTTAAGTGCAGTAACTTTATAACAATAGCAAGATGCAAAGAAATCAACAATATAGCAAGTGAAGTGGTCATAAATGTTTATATTTATTTTTTATACAACTTTCATTAAACACCATTTTTTTCTTTACACTAATTTCAGAACTACAAATCCTAATTGTTGTTAGCTACTGTGATAAATGTTCATAGTGCTGTGTGTCTTACAAAATAGATAAATTATATAATTCACAAGTACATAAAATAAACTTAAATTCACTTTAATACAGGTACATGTGAGGTTTCTGAATTTTGAGGTTGGACAAGGTTTGCATAGCTTTGCAAGTTATTAAAATTCAAATCTTCCCATTTCAAAAGGATAAAATTACTACAAAAAAATAGTGTGGAGCATAAATTCAAAATTTGGTTTTTTTTAAATCACTACTTTAAAGACTATATTAAGATTTTATTAAATGAAACAGCAGAATTAAAAATGTTTTCATTAGATGACATTTGTTGCCACGGTTTAAGCTAGCATGAATCTAACCTCAGTGCTAACAAGCTAGCATGTTGCCAGGTTTTGTAAGACATAATCTTTAAATTGTTTTAAAATACAAAGTTTCAATTAAGCCAAAGTTTTAATTTTAGACTGTTTTTTTGTTTTGTTTAGGTAATTTGGTGCTAAGACTTTGTATTTTTTTCCCATTAATTCCTAAAGTCTGTTACAACTTATGCTATCCTTTAAGCACCTGGAGTCAGCAGTAATGGATAAAAAAATTAGAGAGATACCTACAAATTACGTATTTTAAAAAGTTATCTCAAGTCTTCCAATCCATGTATTTATCTTGCTTGTGAAAAAATTCAATTATATTATATTTACCATAACTATCAAGTCCAAATTATTACTATAAATAAGTACACTGCTAATATCCTCAAAGGACTTGTATGAAATATAGTCCTTCATCTGGTATGGTATTAATAATTTAACTGAACAATCAATGAGTCTATACTGTGAAAAAGATGGAAACTTCTCTGAAATTATATGATCTGACAATGTATATCACTGAAATAATATACATTTTTTATTTGATTATGGCTAGTTTTGTCAAGCCCAAGAAACTGGCTTTTACAAAAGAAGTCATGCTATGCTGAGCAACATTTCTAACACAAGTCAATAACAGAAACTCCTGCTGTTCAGAGAAAGAACCCATGTGAATCTTCTTCTTACTGGTCCAACAGCAAAATCCCACCATTTACAGAAAACTAATGGAAACACTTGGAGTGGGGGAGGGAGGGCAGCACTTCTTGGATGACCAAACATTATCAGCACCATGTGACAAACCCCAGTTGGATCACAGCTGGACATCAGAGTCGAATCCTTCATGAAGGGAACATGTTGCAGATTCAATTTTTTTGTTTGTTTTAAATGTTTGTGTCAAAGTCTGTTGGCCTTTGTTTTGACTTTGTGTACAGAGCATTGCACCATAGTGATTGACATTGATAATTCAGAACACAGAGACAGACAATATATTTTTTGTACAGAGTAAAGAATGGCGACAATAACTGGAATACATAAATATATTTTTCTTTCGATTTTATACGTCATCACATGTCAGATAGAAGAACAGTATTACCCTGATTTGCTGAAGAAGAGCTTTATGGTATCCACATAGCTTTTATTGAACAAGAGTAGCACAAAGTTACACACTCTATTAGCTTAATAGTTACTGTATAGGATTTTTTTTTTTAGAACTAAAAAGAATAAGGAATAGTTTTACTGGCGTGGATTCTCACTCATTTCCTTGACTATTAAAATGCCACAGAGTCTCTTGGTTTGAATGTAAAGTTGCACAGCTTGCGCCTATCATGTTAAATGTAAAAACCTGTGAGGACTCTCTTAAAAATACAGCCTCGTGATCGACAGCAAAACATGCGCGCCTTTAATGTCGGCCGGCCATCAACCAGCGGCCCTTTAACCACTGTTGGCCCCCTGACAGACCTGGCATCGGGTCACAGCTGGAAAAAGGCTTCGAACACCGTCACAAAAGACACACGAGTCCAGAAGTCCAGACTTCTGAAGCCAGTTTCCAGCTATGGATCGCCACGTCTGCTACTTCAGTCAAGGTTGTTTTGAGCCAATAAGGCTGAATGGTTTTTTTTTGTTTTTTTTTTACCAGACTGGCAGAACAATGTTAGAAACCCGAGGCATGTCCTTTTAGCTACAAACATGTCTGCCATGTTGTTATTTTTGTTTGTGTGAAGTTATTTCAGAAGGCAATAAGTGTCCGGATTGAGTCTCCACTTGTAATTGGCTTGCCATACAGTACAGTGATATAGTAATATCCCCTAAGGCGGCCCGGAAAAACACCTTTGGAGCGAGCTCTTCCCAGCCGCCCAAGGCTAAACCCCCTCCTCCTTAAGTCACAAGTAGAAATCAGTTTACAAATGATAACAATATAGCTCTCTGAAGAAATGTGTCTACACTGTACATCGCCCTGAAGAGGAAGCCAAAGCAGAATCAGTTTTTCCATAGGAAACCTCTACTGAAGGCAAATGAATCATGACGCCAAGGGGGTCAGCATCAGAATCAAACGTAGGGGCCCTGGAATCAAAACCCTCTTTTTTTTCATTTTGTTTTGTTTAAGACCACAAACATACCATAACTCCCTGACCAGGAAATAGACCGATCCTGTCAAGACACTGCACTTCCTGAAAGCCAAGCAATGATGCTCTCTTCCTCCCTCTGAACACCTCATATCATTTCATGGCTCAAGAAAATTTGTAGATCTAACCCCCGTCAGGCCACACACGTATATTACTTGCTAGTTCATAGACCTAGCTGTGTCAGGTAATAGACTCATCCGAGCAAGTAGTCATCAAGTACACTTGCAGCATTCACACGAGGCCGTTTAGCAGCAAATGGAAGAAAAAAAAAACATTTCTTTTTGTTTGTTTTTTCATTTTTTTGGACAAAGTGCTGTTGTCTTTTTAAACATATAACATAATCTATACATATAACTAACATTTAGAAGATACATATTAACTCATAGCTTATTTACAAAATATATAACTACTAAGAAAATAACTATGGACGGAAAGGGGAGAGCAAGTCTTTAAGCTACAACTAGTCAAAGAAGTCAAATGTGAATATTGGAAACTTATCATTCTAGTTTCAAAAAAGAAGCACCATTTCTCCCTTTTTAGACAGAAAAGGAAATTAGCTATTACCCAATCATGAAATACACACAGAGGAACGCTCACAGTCATTAGAAAATGCTCTGGAAATAACTTTTGATCTTCACACTGCCCTGGAATAAAAACAAACTCATTCATGAATTCATTTTGAGTCCTAAAATTTGATTATGGTTAATTTGAGGATAATTAGTTGTTCGGTGAAACAGGTGGAAATAAAAATTTGATGTGGGAGAGTGCATGGTGTGGCATAAGCAGTGCAATATGTACTTGTAAGTAGCTAATTTTGATGCAATAACGAAAGGCGAGGCATACAGGTCAACAACGCAGCTCGAAAGGTAACAATCCCAGGAATGCAAATGTCCCGTAATTTAACGATTGATTCTGAAACAAGAAGCACAAAGAAACTTAAGTACCTGATTTTTAATCTGACTGAGCTCAGCCTATAGAAAACACCCTTTTTATTCCTGTCACTGAATGCACCATAACTAAAAACAACGTTCTGCAAACCGCAACACTCATCAGTGGGGAAGTTCTTACCGAGCGAAGAAGACTCAAAGTTGTCTATTTTTGAATGACTGAGCTGTTAAAGAATAAAGTATTTTCTACAGAGAAATGTTGGCAGTTCATTCAGAGAGTTAGGCATTGTCATGTTGCACTTTGGGGAGTTTTGTGTCTCACTGAAGTGGCAAATTAGCATAGAGCAGATTTTAGTAGATAACAAGAAGGCGCTTTGGAGTACTGCAAAGTTTCACTCTTTGTTTGTGAGCTTCCAGCTTCTCTATGATGAAACATGTTGGATTGGAAAATGTTGGGAATTTGTCAGAGATTAGGTAAGGATCCAGATGTTCTAGTGGAAAACACAAAGACTGCTGCTCAAATCTAGGAATGCTAACTGCTGGAAAATGTCAATCTCATCATCATTTTGTCTTTGTTCTAAAATAGTGACTCATTTCTCACACACAGTGTAAGATTATTACTCTTATAAGGCCATAAAATGCTTTGAATGCTGATAATTATAGATCTCAATTAGAAATATCAGCAGGTAGAGGTTTGGGTGAAAATCAGTCCCAAATCTTTTATTGGTGCGTCTCTGCTAAAATGTAAAAGCTGCTGATTCCAGGTCAGTGTGAAGCATCTTTTTGAGCCGCAAGACAAAAACAGTCTGTCCTCCATCTTCCGGCAGACCGTTCTAATGACGGCGGCTTTATGCCACATCGTGTCTGAAATTATCCAGTCCTCGCTCTCTTTCACACAGTCAGTGAAGGAGATTATTCGATCAGCCCGTCTCTTCTTTTTCTCCATAACTAATTCTCTGACCTATGAATACCTAAAAACCAAAAAGCAAGACTAAGAAGCAGCTTAAATACAAAAATATACTGTTTTTTGTTTGTTTTTTTTCTCTAGCTTTTTAAATGCAAGGACAGACTTCAGAAATGTGACATGCTTGAAAACAAATCACTGTCATGAAAAGTGGCATTTCATAACTCATAGATGTAGCATTAATGCTTCTATGTACAGTACTTTAAAACACAACTCAGATAATATTCTGCTTGTGAACTAGACCTTGACTACATACAGAAATCAAACAAGTGACACAGGAATATTTTGGTTATTTCAGGGAACATCTTGACAAGCAAAAAAAAAAAATAATATTAACTTAGCTTATCTACTAGCTGAGCGCTTGTTTTTTTTTTTGTTTGTTTGTTTGTTTTTGTTTCCTAACTAGCGCCATTAACACACTTAGCATGTGCAGGGAGGAATCAGATCAGGAATGAATGCTTCCTAAGCAACAAAAGAAATCTACAGGAAAAAGCCCACGTTGCAGGGGACACAAATGAATGTTCCTTTTCTGTACAGAATTGGACCCAAACTAATTTCACAGTTCTATGAAGTTCCCTGACCCTCCCACATTTCTTACATTCAATACGGCGTCAGGTAAGCTGTGCAAAACCTTACTTTAACTGGCTGGTCGCCATTTTCGTTGCATGTGTCTTTGGTACAAAAAACAATCAAAATATAGTGTGCAAATATTTGTTGTAACCCTAAAGGAAAAATATCTGTTAACCCGCCCATCCCGCCCCTCCCAGGCCCCTAAAGACAAGAGTACCAAAAACCGAAAGGAATCTATTGCAGAGCCCTCCTATATACACAGACTCTGTGGCATCACGCAACAAGAGCTTCCATTTGTTTATGTACATTCAGAATATCTTTAAACAACTTGTGTCCATCCTCTCGTTCCCTAACAACCTTCTCTCCAAAGCTGGAGCTCGAGTCCGTCTCTAACACACACTCATTCAGACTTAAAGAGACACACACATACATATACAAGGCACAATGAATAGAACTCTGATCAAACACTAGTATGAACACATCAAACTGTCACCACCACGCTGCCTGGTCAACTTTACTGTACAAAAAAGGGAGGAGCTGATGCCTGGGAGACACTTCTATATACAGTTTCCTGGAGGAGATGGATTGCTGTTCATGTCATCTTTATCACCATCCTCATCATCGTTTCCCAGTCCAGTTATAACCACCAGAAAGCCCCAAAAAGCACCATGCTACATGCATTTCCAATTCAGGTTGTGAACCACTTCCTGTTGATTAAGGTTACACGTCGAACCAGCAGGATGTGTGATCGCTTGAATCTTCCACTGCATTTTTTTTTTGTTTCATATCTTGCGCTAATAGGCTAAGCCTGTTTTTGCAAGCAGTTGAGTTGATTGGCAAACAGGGGATGGCGGGAATTTATTTAGGCCTTCAGTACTAAATATTTCCTGCCACCCTGCTTTTTTCTCCTCTGCAGCTTTCTGGGCTACCAGAGCCATTTTTGTAAAAGTGCTTCAGTGAAGGGGTCAATTTAACATCCTGGAACTTCTTTTCTTGTTGTTTTTTTTCTCTCTTTTTTTTTTTTTTTTTGCTTTTTGGGATAAAGCTCCTTGTATAAATGATAACTTATGCTTCATCAATCTGTGATTGTTTCTGGCATGTAACAAGATTTCCTCTGTCTTTATGACCACCTCAAACAAAGTCTTCCAGTGGTTATGCTCGTTTGAGCTCCAGTCTCAGTCCCTAAAGCCTGCAGCAGGCGACGGCACACTCATCTAACAATCACCAGTGGATTTAAGAACATGCTGCTCCAGACACACCAAACCATCACTTGCTTTTCAACGTGCTTCTCCCAACAGCCGGCCACCATGGTTGGGGAGACAGTGATGTACTGACGCTGCGCGCGGCGTGCAGAGACGGAAAAGCCGGGGTTCGTGCCTTACAGCTGCACGGCAAAGACAAGCACACGTACGGGGAGGTGGTGTGTGTGTTTGAGTGACTGGCGATGAGTGTTTACTCTGAGCTGGAGGGGCATGCAGAGGGAGGATAGTTACAACGGACAGCACGGTGGTAATATGGAGTCCACTCTTCTCGGTGGACGGAGGGTTTGTCTACATTTTGGAAGTCGGGACTCGCAGGCCGACCAGTCCTCCCGTCGGGTCACCGCGTCCCGTGTTCTCCAAGATCTTGTTGACAAAGTCCGAAGTCTGCCCAGCAACCGGCGATGGCACTAAAGGCAAAAAGAGACGTAAAGTTGTGAAAGTGTATTTTCTCGTATACAGATTTCCTCTGAATGCTTTTTTTTTGGCAGACAGCTGCATCCGAGCATTACAGGAGATCCTCCCTATAAAACTACAAAACTATCACTGCTCCCAACAAAATCCATGTGTTTACATCCTTGCTGGCATTAGAACAATTATTTACTCTGTTTTACTCGTTTTTAAATAACCTGTAGACTTTATTGCAAACAATCTGTTCTCTTTTTAATGTTCAATACACGTCGAAATTATGTCATAATTTTCTACTGAATATTATTATGATTTGGTTATGTATTTATTTCAAACAAACATATTCACATTCACATACTATGATATATATTTAGATAGCAAAATATATATAATTGAAAAGGAGGTAGGCAGAAGCATTTACATGTTTGACCCTCTCTCTTTTCTTTTATAAGTCTTAGTTTACATGTTATTATTAATTTAAAAAAACATAATTATTATTGGGATTCTTGGTATATATGTATGTTTATTACTTTTTGATCTGTTGTGTGCACCTACATACATCGTGATGCTGCTTTTACACTTGAATTATTCACTGTGAGACAATAAAGGCCATTTTTATTCCCATTTCTTATAAATCAGTAAAAGATAACATGAGAAAATACAGGCAGCAGTTTGAAATAATGATTTAATCTCTGAAAGAAATAAAAAGCAATCCAAACCAGCATAAAAATAGAAGCCCTTTGTGAAATATAACTACAATTTTAATTTGCACTTTTCTTTTCTATTATTTTTGAAAAAGTCTTTGAAAAACAATTACAAACTTAGTTCTATGCAATTACTGCAAAACTGATAAACAAATGTTTCTTTAAGGGTACAAAATGGAAGTAAAGATGGACAAAATGGCCAACTGCACACATTTAGAGGTCAGAGAAATCCTGCGATTTCAGATTTCAATCCAAGGGAGTTTAAAATAACATTTTACAGGCACAGTAAAGCTAAACGAGGCCAGAATGTTTAATTCTCACCAAGCGTTTCCTCGATGAGCCGCTCCAGAGTCTCAGTCATGTTGGTTGGGCGCGGAGACGAGTCCTCCACTCGCAGCATTATCTCCTCCTTGATGGCGTTGATCACAAACAGAAGCCGATCTGCACGAGTTCAAGCACAGAAGACATAAAAACTATTCATAACGCTCCTCAGACAATATTTTTATTTCTAGATTAAAAGAGATAAATGTAACAAGAGAAATAAAACGACAACAATCAGAACTAAGAAGGAGGAGATGATTAACTTACCATATTCTGTACTGAGTCCCCAAAGCTTCACTTTGTTTGCTTCATATTGAGCTTTCTTTTTTAAACGGCAAGCCCTAAAATCCCAAACAGATGAAAGTTACTTATCCACATCGCAGCTCTGACTCTAATCGTATGCGTGCAGGATGCCGTACCTGGACGCCAGCTTGTTCTTCTCCTTGCGAGAGCGCGGCCGTGCGGTCAGCGGCAGCTCGCTGACAGGAGTGAGGTCGCTGATCACCTTGTTCAGCTTGCGGAGCTCTGTGCCGATCTGCAGCAGCTTGCGAGGATTGGGAGTCAGGTCTTCCACGTCTGTGCGCCGCGATTTCTTTAGCATGTATTTTCCTTTGTAACAGGAAGCAAAACATAAAAAATCATAACACATTTCAAAGCAGTAAGTATCTATAGACACTAAAGAGAAATTATTACTCAGCATAATGTGTCACTTAGCTATATTTTTTAAGCTATTAATGACTTTTAGAGATGTGCATCACTTGTAAAAATCCTCAAAATAAATTAGAAAGATGTCACAATCTTACACAAAGGATATCAGAAAAAATACAACCTTTATTTGAGTGCATTTATTCATTAGGGAGAAACAGAAAGAACGATAATTTTAATTACTTTTGACACGGTTAAATGTACTGTATTGATTGAGCCAGCTCCAGCAGCAGAAGGATCACGTTACTATTGATCACTGCAAATGTGGCCGTTATGTTTTCTTATTCATGTTGAGCCGCACAATTTATTCATTGATCCCAGAAATTGGAAATTATTGACATATGTGGAGACAAAATACACAACATAAACAAAAATAGAAACAAAATAAAATTTAGATTTCTATACAATAAAACAGAGGCTTTTCAATGTGCATTTTTTAAAAAAAATGTAAATCTAAATATACATTCCTTCCATAAATAAGTTATTATTATTATTCCTATTAAAATAAATACGACTAAAGCATTTTTATTGATACTATTGTGAGTTAATTAAATTGTCGAGGGACTTTTAATTAGAAATCCATGACTTCATGTTTCCCTGCTGTATAAATGGCGTAACTCAGGAAACTCTTTATATTTATTTATAGTAAATATTTAAGATAAAGAGAGATTAATTAATTTCACGCTTGCATTTCCAGATTTATTTAAAATTTCACATGCATATTTGCATTTCCAAAAAAAGTTAATTTTTTATACTCTTTCACATGTGACTTGTTTCTATTGTATTTGATTCATAATGAACATATTCTCTTTAATAACCCTGCATGACATGCAGTGGATATAATAAATAAACGATATAAACAAAAATGACCTGTGTGTCTCTTTTTAATCACAATTTTCAAATGTAGCAAAACTTTAATGGCTTTTTCCCATTTATACAAATCTAATTTCCATAATTCAGCATCATTTAAAGCCAAAAGGTTTGCATGAATACGGATGAAGGGTAATTTTCTTGTGACAGTTTTTCATTTCCCCTGCTATTTAAAAGGATCCTGATCTGGACATGCTGTTGTGCAAACCCATCTGAACAACATACGTCATCAGAGCCTCATTTAAAAGTCTTAGACAAACCTCAAGGACACAATATTATGGAACAAAATCCTATAAAAGGCTCAAATAAAGCTGCTGATTTACCACTCTGTCCTAAAAGAAAGGTTAATGTGGTACAGCTGAATACAGAGTGGATCTCAGCGGTGGACACGTTGCTGTTAAAATACCAGGTGTATGTGATGGAGAAGCTCAGAAACCTCTGCCTAGTGCTGCTTGAGTTTTACATAGAGACATAAATCTATATGTTTTTTCTTCATATGTCTTTGGTAAGTTGTAGGGCTGTGAAGCAGAAACATTTTCTTCTAACAAACTGGATAAAACCTCGCAAAACCCTGAAGGATAATGTTTCATCTTTGATAAGCAGAAAGATTTTCAGAACCAGCAAGTGGTTTCTGAATTGTAAGACAACATCATAAGACTTGCACAGCGGTAAACCCAGCTGACCAAATGTGCTGGAGCTCCACCTCTGTTGCTAGGTAACGAGACTGGGAGATAAATTTCATGTTTGCATCTATATAAATGGCACAATCATCATAAAATTGATTAAAAAAAATTTAAACTGAAAGGTCTGAACGTGATTTGAGAACTAAATCTGACAGAAAACCAAAGCTGTCACTTGACTATTAGTTTAATGCTCACAATTATTTCTCCTCTTTAACGATAACATTCATATTTCAGGATTAATGCTAATTTAAAAAGGTGGGGAAAGTTTTCGTCAGTTTATCGACACCTTTGGGAGCTGCAGTGTGTAGTTTCTATATGTGTGTGTGTGAATACCATGGAGAGGCCCGTTCTTCTGGTACATGTTGCTCGGCAGCGTGTGTCTGTCCCACTCAGAGGGCTTCAGCATCCGCTCCTGCTTGGAGGGGGTGAGCTGCTCACTGTACTCCCAGAAGTAGCGGCGCTTCCCTCTTTTCCGGCTGGAGACTCCAGCTGTCAGGCCTTTAATGTCGTCCATCAGCTCCATGTCACAGCCTGATGGGACAAAGAAACACAAAAATGTTGAAGAAGTTAGACTACACTCCAAAAACACAAAAACTTACCAAGTAATTTTGATCTAGTTTCTGGTGCAAATATCTCAGTTCATTTGAAATAAGACATAACTGACTTACAAGTAACTTTTCAGAAAGATAAAAGCTTGCTTTAAGTCATTAATATTGATGAAAAGCTACTTGTAAGTTAGTTTTGTGTCATTTAAAGTGCACTAAGATATTTGCACTAGAAACTAGATCAAAAATACTTGGTGAGATTTTGTGTGTTTGCAGCAGAAAAATTAAGGAGAAATTAGGTTTTGGAATTCAAGATGGCCTGTACCTGGCTCAGAGAAGGCGTCGCTCATGTCGTCATCCTTGTCTGCTTCGTAGTCTTCATCCTCCTCCTCTTCCTCTTCCTCCTCATTCTCGGAGAGCTCATGCTCACTGCCGAAACCTTCATCGTGGTCTTCATCGTCCAAGTCCAGCCCGTCGCCCTCGTCCTCCTCTGGCTCCTCGTCGTCTTCCTCCTCGTCGTCTTCCTCCAGCTGCATCAGAGCTCGGCTGCGGGTCAGGAACAGAGAGTAGTTGTGTTCTTCCTCCTTGCTCTGCTCCGGATCTTCAACCAAAACCCCGCCGCCGCCTGCGCTGCACGCTCCTGCCACGGCGTCGGACGTGCTGCACACGGTCTGCTTCGCCTCTACCAGCTGGGGAACAGCAGCGGACCTGCCGACGGGCCCCTCCCGCCGCGCCACCCCCTCCGCCTTCAACTCAAAGCCCTCCAGGCTGGCCGAGCCGCTGGGTTGCGGGGTGGCATGGCCCACTGAGATGGCACTTGCTGAAGTGGAGGGCTTCTCGTCTTGAGGCTGGGAGAGAGGCAGCGGCGGATCGGACCTCTCAAAATCCGTCTGGGGCATCGCCTCGCCTTGGGGTCTGGGTCCAGAACTGACGCGAACTTTAGCTTTCCGAACAAAGTCGGCGCTGTGAGACGTCGGAGCGGCCATCTTGGCCCCTCGACCCGGAGGCTTGGGTTGAGCCTGGGCGTGGTCCTGGGCGAGACCGAGCTGGTTCTGGGTTTTAGCCATGGTCTCGGTGCTGGAAGCAACAGGTCGGGTTGCTTTTTGGGAGCTTTCAGGAAAGTCTGCGAAAAGGCTTCTGGAAGGCCGGGATTGGGAAGAGGATGCGGAGCACGGAGACGGCCGCACCGAGCTGACGCCCAGTCCCTGGAGTCTCTTGTTTTGAGAGGGGAGCGGCTGGGATGGGGGCTGGGAGCAAGGAAGCGTCAGGTCGACAGGAGGGTAGAGAGCCTCACAGACGGGCAGAGAGTCCTCGCTGTTGAGCTGAGCCAGCGTCGGGGTCCGACTGATCACCTCCTCATCCTGGTAGGGACTGGAGAAGTCATCCAGTCCAAGAAAGTCCACCTCTTTGGTTCCCCAGATGTCACAGCTGGCCAGCCGTGTGTATCTGTTAGTGACAAAAAACATATAGATGTTTAAACAATGACAGCTCCAGCAAAAAATACCAAAAACAAAACTGGAAAAAAAGACTAAAAAAAACTGGAAACTAGACAAAAATACTTGGTAAGATTTTGTGTTTTTGTTGATTNAAACNCAGCTTTAAGGTTTTTTTTTTCTTTCACACATATATATCTGCTTTACCCAATAATGACCCATCAACAGTGCATCAAACACCATGATAACTTGTCTGAATGTTTACCAAGTCTTGTCTGGACACCCAAAACTGCAGCTGCTCACCTTGTTCTTCTGACCCCGTCTTGGTTTTGGGAATTAGTTTTGCCAGAGTCAGATTTCCGAGAACAGTCGAACGTTTTCATACCACAACATTTCCAAGAAAAGAACAGAACGATCAGATGATTTCTCTGCACTCCTTAGGTGAGTTAGCTAACCCTTCTTGAATGTTTTTCCTCAAAATATTGCGAAAACTGTAGTTGCTTCATTTCACACGATAATTTTTGCAAACTCAGAACACAGCACAGCAGTACTATCAAAAAGCAGCTCAATTATTTTATTGTTCACTTGTTACTCAAAGGATTGTAGCACTTTGATTCAGGACAGACAACAGTTTTGTGATTTTGGCTTTGCACTTTACTAAAATAAATTTTGAAAGTTCAGACTTTCAGCTTTAATTCAGTAAGTTGAACAAAATGACTGCATAAATAGGTGAAGAACTAAAACACTTTTTTAAACACAATCCCTTCATTTCAGGGGCTAAGAAGTACAACTTTCTTCAAATTTTCATGTGGATACCCTCAAATGAAAGCTGAAAGTCTTGACTTCATGTCATGTTCAAATATATAACTAGAACTTAAAGCAAACAGGTAAAAAAGAAACTACCAGCTGTACCGTCCTGCAAGCAGCATATGTTTTCTGTCCAAACAGCCTAATTTTTATAGCAGCTGTCTCACCACACCTAGCATTCAATAAAAGTAGAGAGACAACCTTTCACATTTATTTTTGGAGTAAAACGTAAATCCAATGGTTGCTTGAACTCCAGATAAGCTAAAACAACAAGATGTTTCGTAACTGGGTGACTTCTGACAGTAGTTTTGTTGCACTGCATTTTGTTTAGGGGCACCAGAGTAAAGGAGGTTGGATACAAATGAAGGCCATGTTTCAGATATTCATTTAGAAAATCATCGCTCTTCCATTATACAGTGAATCACTACAAAAAACCCCTAAAATTAGATCAACGTTGATGCAAAAATGACTAACTGTGAAAATATCCAAGGCATATGAATACTTGCTATGATGCGGTATTAAAATAACGGTACCTGGTGAGGTCTTCCCAGTACGAGTCCCACTGTTCGAACGCTGAGCTGCTGTGGACCGTCTCGCACTCGCCGAGGCCCATCAGCTGATCCACGCCTCCCTCCACCTCTTTGCCTCCGTCTCCGACCCCCACGACGCTGTCCCCGCAGGGACTCTGTTGGTGGCTCATGTCTGTGTCCTGCAGACGAAGGAGAGAGAATCAGAGCGAAGGAGGCAGATGGTGAATTAAATCGAAGGTTCTGTTTCAGATGCTGAGGTCTGCTGCACAGTCAGCGTATCTGTTTACTCCCACAGTAACAGCTATGATTAAAAAACTAAGGCTGAATGAGTTATTGTAGAAACCTTTAACTATTCAGAAGTGCTACTGAACAGCAGCGTACAAAGTTCAGGAGGCTCCATGGCTTTTTAATGCAGCTAATCAAAGGTGATATGAAGGAAAAAAACAACTATCTGTCAACTTTTATCTTTTCCAATTAGAAGACACTTAGTTAAACTTTTAACAGTGTCCAAAAATTTTAAACCTATTATTCAGAGGCCTATCACACAAACAAATCTTGCTGGATGATAAATTGTACCAGAAGTTATTGCGATGAAGAATAATGTTGTTATTTTGAGACCATTCACAAGTAATATAATAGTCCTTATAATATCAGAAAACATTGTCAAAAATCAATAAACTTTAAATTCGAATGAACATTTACTGCTGTAACTGAAAGTCATTTTAAATATCCAGAATAAATAAACAAAACAACAGAAACAACAAATAAAATCAATTATGAAGTTTCTGTAAACAAAATTGTTATTCAAAAAAAAAAAAGGACTAGCTGGGACAAAAGCACCAGACTGAGTGTTTTGTCATACAGTTTTTGGAAAAAATGGAAGTCATCATGCTCGGTTTAATTTAGGATGTGATTAATTGATTTATGGCTTATTGCACAGCAGTAATTGTTCAAACAAGCAAAGAACACATAATAAGGTAACCAGAAAACTGATTTTTGAATTACAATCAGCATTTTCCACAAACCAATGCACCTTATGGAAAGAGAGAACTATGCTGACTCTGTGACTGACTTCTTTTTAAAAAGAAAATTGTAGCAATTTTATAACCTGTAACTCAAAACTTTGGCAAACTTCATATGGAAACCCAACTGATTCTTACTGCCAGCTGATTGTCAGAGTTAAACAATTTTATGGCTGTTTAATTCACCTAATCAGGGTTAAAATGGAGGAAAGAAAAACTAACTTTGCCTGCAGTAAACACAAAAATATGTTGGACTTCAAGTCTCTCCTGAACAAGAAATAAATTACGCCCCGGTCTTCAGTCTACTTCGGTCTATATATGACTCATTGTGCTGTCAAATATAGGCAAAAAAAAAATGCAAATAAAAACCATCTAATTTTATTTATGACCATAGAGGTACCAGAATAACTCATACCAGTGTTACTAATAATATATATTTGTAAGATTCATTCATTGAAAGCAACTAAACCTAAAAACAAAATCAATATTCAAGCCTCTGTAAGACACCAGTTAACACGTTGTGGCAAATCTAATTAAGATACCTGGCAAAGCACCGCAGCCAAATCTGCAGTATTTAAATGGGAGGACAGAGCCTGACAGAGGGGTTTAGTTTAAGAAAACTCCATCATTATTATCAATATTAAAAGATAACAGAGTAATATGTGGGGCAGATGGTACATTTGATGAATCTTATTAGCTCAGATAGAGCGGCCCAAACAACAGATGGTAAAGCCACTGTGATCTAACCATCATTAGATCAGTCTGCGGATTAAACAACCACATTAAAGACACCCAATTGTGAATTTCAATGACAGCATTTTTAGGTGCTCAAAGCTCAAATGAAACAACAGCAGATACATTTTTATACAGAAGATTAAAGACGAAACTGATCCTGTTTGTTACAGGGCAAGAAATCTAATGCTGAGCAGTGAATCACTATTGTTTAGTCTGGAGCAGGAAGTAAATTGAAGGAGACACCTGTGGCTGACAGCTATGAGTAGTGACAGGACAGCTTTCTGTTTAAACCTGCCTGCCATGCCCGATGAATGGGACGGACCTCTGGGTTTAAATTCCTGTGAAACAGATGGCAGAGAGCTCCAGGTTTCTTCATTTTGAGAGTTTCCTGGCTCCATCAGCTTCAATGCCATGTACCATACATTCAAATGCATGAGCTATTTTTACTTTATTTTCATTTTAAATAACAAATCTTAAGCGATAGATATCAAAAATCACATTGTGTGATAAGATGTTTCGTCCAACATCACCAGATGGGAAGCAAGGTTAAGTTTAATTCTGTCTACCCCAAATAATATCATCAGTTTGCATGGATCAACTGTTGAAAGGGAATATCTGTTAACTCTGCTATATCTGATAAAGACAATCTGAGCATTGATAGAAATATTGTTCTTTTTAGGTGTCAAACAAAGTTAAATGCACTGTAATTCATTTAAGTTGTAGGTCACATGTGTCAAACTCAAGGCCCGGGGGCCAAATCCGGCCCGCCTTAGCGTTTTACGTGGCCGTTTAGACTCCAAATTACATCAATAAGTCCTTCCAGTTTTTCACACTCTGCGAAATTCACACAAAATCAGCAAATCTCTACATTTTCTCTGATTTTACTGCAAATCTTCTCAAAATTGGTCAAAAACAACGAGTGTAAGTGACTGCTGCCTCAGCCTTACTTGATCTCAAGTCATCATACATGAGTGCAAATATGGTAAAAAAATTCCTCGCAAACATTTCTAAATGTCATTTTGACTGCAAATAAAAACACTAAAACAATCACAAAATCCTGGAGGAACAGTTATTTATTGATATTTTAACAGTTAATTTGGTTTTATCAATATATTCTGGCATAACCGGCCCTTTAAGAACATTCAGATCTTTGAATGAAAATGAGTTTGACATCCCTGTTGCAGCTGATAAAGACTTTTGAGAGCAATATCAATGTCAAGTGAGCAACTTTAGCACCTTTCTAACATCGTTACTAAAAATGTTATTGTAATTTTAGATTTGTCATGACATACTAAGACAACAGAAATACTAAATAAAAAAAGTAGTGGACAAAAGTTTTTTGGTTTTTTTTTCTTTTAACTTTGTTTTAAGTTTTGTGTTTCAGGTAACATAATATTGTTTTGTATGGATGCCAGCGTAAGCAGCTGTGACTGTCCATGCTGTGCTGACAGAGTGCAGAGTGGAGCTTTTTCACACAGCATAGCTCAGTTAAAGAAGATGCTTACAGCTAAACCTCCAATGCTACGTTGGAGTTTTACCCTCTGCACCTTTTAAATCGGGCAGCTCACCATGGCTGTTTCTGCTTGACTTGCCGACCTAATAGCTAGCTGTAAGCCTAATTTCATTCAACAAAAGTGCAGCTAATAAAGCGTCAACACTTATAGCTACAATTTCAGGGGTTACTGGTTTAAAGTTTAAATAATGGGGATATTCAGCATCGATGAGCAGATATTTAACATGTATCTCTGAAAATAAGGCAAATAAATCTGATTGATAGACTTTTAAAAGAAAAATGTATTTAAGAAGTAAAACGTTTTATTTACAGTGATGTGCATCCACAAAGTTTAACAGATTTTTTGGGGGGTTTTATGAGAACATAAGGTGGAACAGCCGTTTCATTTAACAATTCTCATTTCAGTTGTTAAGTGAAATGATATACGATTTCTATTTTTTTTGTTTTTGTTTTACAATTAAAAATCTTAAAACTGTGCTATGCATTTGTATTAGTCAACATTTTGTAGAACCATCTGTCTGTAATTAAAGTTGCAAGTTTTTTTCTACATATTTCATTGCTTTTTAATTGGACTGAAGCAAACCTTGACTAAGTCTTCCTAAAACATTAATATAATTTGATCTAAACCATTCTACTCTTATTCCGCTTACATGTTTAGAGTTTTTTTCCTACTCTAAAAGTTAAATCTCCTTTGTAATCTGTGAGGCCGTCAAAAAACAACTGGATTTATACTGAGATGAAATTACACACTGGCGGACTCTATAATCAGATTATATCTAAAGGTGACAGGTAGAGTAAAAGAGGTGGAATATAATGTTAATGTTCACTGATTTATCTTCTTTAAATTTGAAAACTATGCATCATTTTTCTTCCATCAAAGCCATCTGCTATTTTACACTGGTCTGTCACATAAAATCCCAACATAACACATTGAAATATGTGGTTGAGATGTGAAAAAATAAGCAAAGATTAAATGAATGTTACCAGGAAGAGTGTTTAATCTAACATATAGCTTCATTTAAACAAGGATAAACCATCAGTGAGAGCAAATTACTGAAAATGACAAATCTGTATAATTCCCACAAGCCTGAACCAAAATTGATACAAGTTACATTAGCTAAGCTAATTTTGCTATTTTGGCAGAAAGTACTATAATAAATATGACTGATATTTATCTTAGTATTACACAGAAGTGGGTAAAGTATTCACATTTTAATTGAGTGATAGTTGTGATGTACTATGCTTGTGTGGTCTTTTTTGTTACCATAGCAACTCCATAGCAACTGCCCACCAAGATCGCCGTCAGTTACAAAGTTCACGGAAATTATTTTTTATTACAGTATTTTGAGATTTGCCATTGTGTTAAAGATATTACTTGTTTGAAATAAAGTAAAAAAAAAAAAAAGTTTCTTATATGTGTAGAAGGAAGCTGACACCTCACATCTGGATCTAAATGACTGACAGCTTGGTGGGAGCAACTAACTGATGTTAAAAGAAAATGGATTCATAAAGCCTGAAGTGTTGCTTGCGAATTTGTTTTTTTGTTTGTTTGTTTTGTGCGCATGTGTGTGCGTGTGTGTTCACCCACCAGCTCATACATGAAATCTGGGTCAGAGCTGGTGGCCAGCAGCTCAGTGCTGGTTAGGGCCTGGTCAGCAAACGAGTAGTTCTGAAAGGCGTCCCCAAAGGGAGGCTCCATCCCACTGACGCTGGGCTGTAGCACAACACAGAAAGAAAACACACAGAGTGAGCAAAAACAAACTAAATCTGATCAACTGTTCTGCTTCTTTTCAGTAAAGATAACAGGGTATTAAATTCTAATTCATCCAAAAATCTGAAACACAAATTAGCCAAACAGAAACACTTAATGCTAGTTCTGTCATTATTGCACTACTTTTAACTACTGTTAGCAATTCATCTGTTTTTTGCACAACAAATAGTGATTTTCACAACTTTATGCAACCATCTTATATCTTCAGACACTTTCTGATAATAAACAGGAAACCAAATGTTCAGCTCATGATAATTATCTGAGATAAAGTCTGTCTCTATTACATCCTTCGTACCAAAAATGATTGGCTTATAATCCACATGTACAGATTCTTTATTAATAAGAACGTTGGTTCAGTTTTGACAGTTTTCCAAATGTTTTTTTATAATAAGCAAAAATGTGAGGAAGATGAATAATTTAGCAGGCATTTTAATGTTTAGTGTAAGAGTGAATTAAAACACTGCAGTTCTACAGAGTTAAAATTAATGGTGATATGTAATTACATGCATTAATGTAGCGAAACAGGCAGAAAATCACATTTTTGTAAATTTACAAGCTTTCACAATTCTCAAAGGTTTGAAAATATATGAATTTTGGTTGAAAGCTGAATCAATAAAATGTCAAACAATTTTATTTTGATGATATACAGAAATGTTCACCTTTACTAAGTGAAACTGGATAATTGTGGCTTTGCTTTCATGCTGCAGCTCATTCAACCTCACAGATTCACATGTCACCTCCCCACATCTCAAGAGTAACGCTAAATATCTCCTAGCTCATTCGGCGATGCATTCACTTGCACTCAGACATCTGATTTTTGCTCATTCAAAGGTCCTACAGCCAAAGATTTTACAATAAATGCAATTAAATATTTTTTCAAATGCATTTCCTGTAATAACACAAATTAAAGTTGATGCAGAGATGTCATGTTTGATTTTTTAAGGGTTGTCAAACAATACATTATTTATGAGATGTGACTAAAACGATTATTACCAATAGCAACACACAACTTAACTTTTGTGCTTATGAAACGTGTGCAAACATTTGTTTCCAGTTTGTAGATTTCATACACACTTTTCATATCAAATATCGCACAATTTAGCATCAAATTTCAACAGTTCTCAGCCTTGTTTTGTTAGTTTCACAGCTGATATTTATACAATGCTCAGGCAACACAAGGACAGACAGATGGATGGACCGTCACGCCGAAGGATTGGGAGACAGATGGATGAATGGTCAAAGGGTTGGATAGATAGACACATTTTTAGAGCATGTCAAAGGGAAATATAAATATCTCTCTACATTCTGTTTCTTTTTAACACTATTCAGATTGTGCAAGAACCCTGAAAAACTAAGTGCTTTGGTTATTGGTGACCAAGAAAAAAAGAGTTGCATACATCTCTGGCTTTATGAGTCTGTCAATAATGGTAACACAGCTTTCAAATAAAACTCCTGCAAAGAGAGTTAGAGTGAATGAGGAAATAAAGTGTTTGAATTCTGAGCACAGACTTCACACAGCATGGAAACAGCTCCAGGCAAAATACAAGACGTTTGGTTAGCAAAATGAGAAAACACAATTCGATTACAGCCTTCTACATTTTACAAATGTTCTCCACACAGATTCAATGTTTGAGAAAAGCAGGATGGTCTGTAAATGCATGCAGACATGTTAGGTAATGAATAATCAATACTGTAGTTTCTAGACTGAAGAATAATACAATAAAGAGCGCTGGGAGTATTTATTAACAAAGCTGCTCTCCTTTTTAGCTTTTTTGTTATTAGCACCAAAAGTAATCCAATAGACGTGTTATTTTTCACATGTTGTAATAAACAAAAGAAAAAGCTGATTTTCTCTTTCCCTGGTGGCTCATCTACATCAGCAGCCAGGCTGATGCAGCCTCTGCAGACGTCAGACTGATCCAGGGTCAGTCAGTCACCTCTGAATCATGACTCGGATCCTCTCAGACTTCAAGCACTTTTGTTTACAAGTTATCCATTTTTGCATGCAATACACATCCAATAGCTACGTTTGAAGATCCTTAGAAACATTTTCTGGACATTTTGCACAACTCTGTGTATTTATCAACATATCTAATCGGGAATGTTTTTTCTGTTGCTCGTCTTACCTGAGGCATTGCCAGGCACAGCTTAGAGCTCCAGCGGCGGGAACCTCTGGGTCTCCTGTCCAGTCCCACTGGTCTGAGTCGGTCAGCACAATAAAACACTGCTGAGGGGAGATGATCAGAGTCCAGGGGGAACGCAGCCTGCAAGGCTGGGAAGAAAGGGGAGACAGCGTCTTGTCTGTCGTGCTCTGGTGTATTTCTCTGTATGCTTCAGGTCTGCAGAAAAACAAAGAGAAAAGATCTTGATATGATGAAGGAAAGTGTCAAAAACAACAACAAAACTATTTAAATTAAGCTTCAGGATGTAGGTATAATAATGCTAGGTTTGCTTCTTTTTGTCCCACAAATTATTTGTTTCTTTATTGCAAGTTATGCAGTGCAACATTTACCAATATTATCCCGTATTACATGTTTTCCTAATAAAAAGAAATTAAATATTGTTAACAGAGAGCGTATTGTAGGCAAGAGAAACTCTAGGAGCTTTAAAATTGTGGGGAATGTTTAGTTTTTACTTGCACAACACATCTAAATTCATCTTTGGTTGAATTTTTTGGAGATAAACTGGTAGCAAATAATGTCTAAATCTATCTAACAAATTTCTAGCTCTTACAAGAGACCAGATGATTTTTAAAAAGTTTATTTTGAAATAGATTTTGTTTTTATCAGATCATGGTTGGGAATAAATGCTTTGATGCCGAAATGGGGATAACTTTGTGATTTATCAATCAATAAAGTTTATTTGAACAGCACATTTCAAGATGCTTTACATCATAACACAAAGATACAAAATCATCAACAATTGAAACATTACCTTTATTCCATCAAGTTTAGATAAACAACTACCGTGATCTAAGAAACTGCTGTAGACTTTGTTTCTAATAGATATTATAATCCTGAGAAAAATACCAGAGAGTTTGAAAGGGAAAATGGGACTAAGTAAATCAGCAACCTGATTGGTGCTTCTCTATACTACATATTTCCATTCCTGGGCTTTATTTCAAGCATTAGATATTATTACTCATGTTGTTTCCTGAGTGATAATGTTTTGTGGTGATTGTTAAACTTATCATATTTAAATCACTGGCTTGAAAATGTTGATAAAAGTTTCCCTTTTGTTAACCTCTAACCCTAAAACACTATTGTTTTACTTCCAAATTGCTTTACAGCCCATAGAGAAAGCACAATTTGCTCTCAGTGAACCCAAACACCACAAAGTTATCACATTAGCACCTTGCTTCTTTTCCTCTACTTGTTTGTTCACAGCTGAAACACGTGGCTCTTATTTATCTCAGCTGCTTTTGCATAACAAATAAAAAGATCTCCATAGGGACATGACCCCAAGCAGCAATCACATGATGCAAAAAAAAAGAAAAATCACTCACCAATCCTACTCCTCTAAGAGGCCACTGAACAACACCACTTCCTCTTGCTCAGCGTTGGCTGACAAAAATAAACTTCTCACCCCTGACAGTTTCATCTCCCCATGTACAGGCTTTGCATAGAGACAGGAAGTGGCAGAAAACACTGCCGTGCAAACTATTGGTTCGACTGCAGTTGTATAAGCAACACCTTATCAAACACAGAAACCGCTGCGAGCTCGCAGTCTCTGCATGTGCACACCTATCTGCTTCATCACCCAGAACAGGTCTGGAACCAGATAAACATCCAAAATAACAAATTGGAACTATCGTCGGATCTTGGTGTGCAAGGTGTTCCGGTGCGTCTGGTTTCATTTGTGGCAGCTCCAGAATGAGGAAACGCACGACTTAAACACAACAAAGCAGCTGCATCAATCCCAATGCTACTTAGCCAAAGAGCAAAACGGAAAACTACAGCAAGAGAAATCTTCAAAGCAAAATGAGAACAAGCTCGAGTGATGATGCAGAGATCATTTTTCCAAAGAGAGATCCGAGTATAATAAAATATCACAGGCTCGTACAGGCCATGATGAAGAGCTGAAACTTTGTGATAAAAGCCATTAAGGTGCATTTAATTAAACAGTCTTTACTTCAAGCTATTTTACAGGCTTACTGAGATAATTAACTTTAAGTGCATTGCTTAAAAGCAGCTGCTCAAATTATTCATTAAAACAAATGTCAATTTCTGTTACTTTCAAGATTCTGTTATTATTTGTTGCCTTTGCGATGAACTTTAGCCTGACTAATCACAAATCTTTAGAGTAGAAAAACGCAACTTCCTGTTTGCGAGACGAACATGTTGATGTCTGCAATAAACTGAAAGTACAAAAATGTCCTTTGCTGAGCGTTAATTTGCAAAGCGGTATGAAAAAATAAAGCAAAGAGTTTCGATCTTGTGTTTTAAAGCTGAATTATCTTGGTTATGTGAAAGAAATGAGCAGAATCAGAAGGTCTTGGTTCATTTTTTCATAGTAAACAGAAGCTGTGAAGCATACTTGTCAAACAATATAGTAGTTCTTGGGCAATAAGGATGTATTTTCCTTACTGAACTAAGGAAAACAAAGGAATACATTGGTGAAAAAAAATAACCAAAAACTAACTTTTTCCAAAATCACATCTCCAATTCTAATAACCAATAAAATCGATTTATCGCCCAGGCCTGGATGATAATCTCACTACATGACTGGATTGTGCTCATATAAACTAAACTGGGTAAAGTTAAATATAATATAAACCTGCTTGTCCGTTAAAGTGACGTATCTTGAAAAAGTAGCTTATTTACCACCAAACTTTTTCCGGGGATGTTTCACATTGCAAACACTGAATGTATCTTACTGGGACAAACCAATACAAAGTAGGGCAGAATTAGGAGGTACACTGAAAATGAAACACGGTTTTTAAATTTTCTACAAAGAAAAACTTGAAAAGTCATAAATGTCTCAACTCTAAATTCAAGGAAATTATTTAAATAAAAGTACATTCATGGCTCCATCAAAGGAGATAAAATGGATGTCACACTTGTTCTATGTAGCCAAACTATTTTGCTGTTGCGGCAAGAACATAAAAATTATGTGAAAATGTGAAAGATTCGGGGTGTTAAAACATTTTTTTTACCAAGCCGCAGATAATAAAACCTGGATTGAATCTTAAAGAGTTAGCTCCAAACAGGTAGCAGACAATGAAAAGCTCCAACTGCGAGCCTGCTGTGCTCATCTCATATCTCCCACCATCATGAAAACAGGTGATATTCTTTGCCCCACAACACTGGATGTGACCCAAGTAGGCCAATCAGCAGAACCTCCTCTGGAATGAGTTACCCACTGATACCAGCGAGGCGCTAATTACTGCAGAAATAACAAGCCGGAGATGCCAGCCTGTTTATGAAAAGGGACATGTGAGAGCACACATCACAAAAGGTTGTTAATCCTCAAGCCCTGCATGCATCCGGACAGCGTGGCAACAGACTGAAATAGATGCTAAATAACAGTCGATTGTCCCTAAAGGTTGGGGATTTCATGGCTTCTTTAGATGACTAACAGAACGAGCAGACAGGTGGTAATAGGGCTGAGTACCACTTATTCTTTCCCAATCGCTCACTTCAGACAGAGTTATGGGCATGCAGTATAGCCATTCACATTAGCAATATATACAAGTAAAACTAACTTGTGTGTGTGTCAGGGGTTCAGATGTTATTTAAGATGGAAGCAGCTGTATGTCTTCTCTACATGCTGCTGCAGCGTTTATTTGCAAAACAGGAACAGTGTGTCGTTATCAGTTGAGAAAAACAGTCTTTCACTTCACCCAAGGACACGATCGCCATTCTCACAGTTACATGCGTGTCCTTTTTTCTAACGTAAGAGTTTCCTCAGAATGGATGTATTCTTCCATATTGCTTTACTTCACAATGCTCATCCAGACCTGGAAAACGCATAAATGAAAAGCCAGGCTTCTGCAGATGGCATGGGAAACGTGTAGCTGAAATTAGTGATGCATGTAGTCAAAGTTTAAGCTGAAACATCGTCTAATTTGGTGCAAATACAATAAAATGTATCAAGATATTGAACTATTTTTGTAAATAAGACTAATGGATGTCTGGAGAGCAACTTTACTTTTTACTTAATGGCGTCACAGGCTAATTAGAACCGTGAGAAATGCATTTCCTTGTAATGATGCACCTGTCAAATGCCTGCTGACTGAAATCAACCCTCAAATTTCATTAGTAAATCTGAGGTTTCACTTTACCTCAAACACTGTACATTGGCAAGAAGTTGGTAATTATGTCCAGTTGTTATTTACAATTGTCATTATTACTGTTATTATTATCTTGTCTTGTTATGAGTTAGTTTGTAACCATTTTGTTTATGTAATATAACTTATTTGTTGGCTCTTTAGCCCAGTACATTGAACAGGCACGTGAATATCATAACTTGGTTTTAAGTACCAATTTTTGATAATTAAGTCAGTAAGTAATCTTTCATTAAATTGAGATAAGAGGTAGGGTTAAATAAGTGTTCACTTCTTCCGACTCTTCTTCAAACAGAAAGGCTGTGGTAAACAAATTATTTTTGTTCTTATATGTTTTCTCTGTCCTGCTGACTGCGTATTTTCTTGTTTGTAAAAACCTGTTTGAAATACAAAAATCAAAAATTAAAACTTAAAACTCACTTTTTCAACCAGTAAAAGCGTAAATGTAGAGTCAGTTTTCTGGTGGACTTGGTCTCAACTTCAGTGCAAACACATGAGGTTTAGGGAGCAAGAGCTTTAATGACTCTATCAATTCTTTAATTTTCTGTTGTATTTTAAATTATTAACTTAATTAAGGAACCTGCAGCACACTTTATGATCTGTGAGTGTGTGTGACGTATAACAGCAGACTTAAAACTGTCTTTGAAATAGTTTTAGATGTTATTTTCTCCAGGAAGAGAATTGGACCAACCTGATCGGTGCAGATCTGACATTATGACTTGTACTGAGCTGATATGAGATTCAAAGGACATGATGACTTTGACTAAACATACAAAGTTTTAGTGTACTAAAACAAATAATACAAAAGTATAACATAATCTCATTCCCTTAAATTAAAAGAAAAAAGCAATGACTATTCTACAAAACAATACACTGATGATTGTTTTTGTTAATATTACTTTTACAAAACCTCATGGCTTATAGTTAAAAGTTTCCTTCAGCACTTGAAGCACAAGAGACAGAGGGCAATTATAAAGGACAGTTACTGCTAATCGAATGTATGAATCTAGTCGACAGAAGCTCAATAACAAAACTATAAACCAAGACAGGAAAACCTCAAAAACTTAGAGCGACAGACACTTCAAGGTCACAGCCTCATTCGGTGGAAGTGTGTTTATTTAATAGGATGAAAGATTGAGCAAACGAGTCTTACTTAGTTTCAAAGGATCTTTTAATTGTGTTAGAAATAGGTACACCTAATTCCAGTTAATTGAGGCACAACAGTGTAATAATCTCTGGAAGCAGGCCACTTGAGCTTTTCCTGCTGACACAGGTTTGCTCAGTTTAACTCATTGATTTAAATGCTACAGAAACAGAGCCGCTTGTAAGCTGCAAAGCCTCAAAATTAAACCAGTAAGGTTTGGTTAAAAAATAAGAATGAAACAGCTAACTACTAATACAAGTCAAATATAAAATATGAAAAAGGTTTATTTTAATTTCAGAGAGAAGCAAACATTCAACTTGACCTGTGTTTAAACCAGGAATGCACAACATACCAGGATTTCCATCAGTATCGGCTGATTTTTTATTTTTTAGCGTATTTTTTAACGTATCGGTCCAATACGTAAAACTGTGACGACATTGACAACCGATATTTATTGGATGTTGCTCATGTGACAGTGATGCAGCAAAGGATTGTGGGGTATTTAACTTGAGCAAAGGAGCAATGTCAGCAATGTGGACGTTTTTGACAGTGTTAAAATGGTAAGGAAATATTGGATATCAAGATCTGCCAAAATTTTTATGAGTGCAGTTTGAACCTTCATGACATAAAAAAATAATGTGGTTTTGAATTATAAATGTGCCAGTAAATCAGGCAGGGATCAACTCTGATCTGTGATCAGCAAGCCAGATTCTGGAAAACCTGATTTTTTCCCCTCCCCTTTTCAAGCATGTTTGACAAACCCATTATGCATATAAAGAAATCATCTTACCCGTGATTTCACATAATCTCTCCTTCCAGCTGTACGCCGCTCCACCCATTATTCATATGAAGGTAATGCTTTAGTAAAATATCAGCTGCTAGCTATTCCAAAATAGACACCACAAAACAAATTAACCATCTAAAAAATCTTGCTATACTTCATTTGGAAAGAACAGAACAGCAAAAAGGGAGAATATTTTGTGTCGTAATCATGTAAATTGAAAACTACTTTGTCATTTTGTCCATATTTTTTGGGGGTTAAGTCATTTAAGTAACAATTTAGGATTTATTAAAAAAAATAAACAATAATATTGTGGAATAAATGAGATGGTACATTATGCTAGCAGCAGTAGGAATAATTGTTTTTTTTATTATTACTAATTCAACCATATTATGTATTCTTAATATAAAAACCTGTGCAAATATGGCATCTCCTTGAATCCATACAATATTTCCTAGCTGTAAATGGCACATTAATTTATAATGATGCACTTCATGTCATTCTCTCAAAGGACATTATTATCACTGTAACCAAGAGAGAGGTAAAAAAAAAAAAAAAAACATTTCACTTTACATCAAACACTGTTGATGAAACTGTAATAAGCTTTAGATTTTTCCAAAACATTTTCGGGATCACCATGCTGTCAGTGGAAAGACACAAACTGACGTTTTGTTTAAGAAATAAAACCGTATAGTTGATGTATTTCCTTTGTATTTCAAACCTGACAGCAGGCATTAGCATCACAGCCACTACTATTGAATAACACGCTGGCAATGTTACAAATGACCTATATCATCCCCCAGTAAAGCCAGAAAGTCACCAGTGTCTCGCCAGTCTCTGCTCCCATCACAGATCTCTGCAAAGCAAAACAAAACGTCAATCTAACAGTCTGTGCCAACACCCACGTAAGCTTGATTTCCTATTGGTCGAAAAGAAACGAAGGCCCGCCTTCTGGAGTGCCTGATAGGCCACATTGACCGTCAAACACAGAACCTGCTTCATCATAAACAGCTTGTTTCAATCTAGGTTGAAGCGGAAGATAAACAACCAGGAGGCCTACATCCCCGTGCCCTACATATTATTATTTATGAGATATTTCATGAAATCACACAAAAAACAAAGTTTACACAATAAAATCGTTAACATTTCGTGTATGTTCGTGTTTTCTCGAAAAAACAAACATGTATGCATACACTTATTCACATTGACTCGGTCGATGAATCCCCAAACAGGATTTTTAAGATAAAAGAAAAACAAAATTCAATCACCTTGAAAGCATAACGCTGAATGTTTGCACTCACAGTGTATCTGAGCTCGGATCACATGGATTGCCGAGCATTTCTCCACCAACACAGGATGTATTTGATGTTGGGGGGCGTGTACCATGGGACACCTAATGCTGCAAAGTCAGACTTTTCCTCCACAATCACACTTCAACACTATTTACTTATGTAATCCTGTATAATCTGAATGCATAGGAGAAATGGGTAAATATAATGGTCGGTGCGATGTTTTTCTTGACAGTTTATGCTCCTTACATAACAGTTGTTTTTACCCAAACTGACACGGAATCAGCTGCTCTACGAGCTTCGTGCTACCAAATCAGTAGAAAGTCCTCATAGTGATCTTTTGGAGCCAGCTGACCCACATTTATATAAGCTAATCAAAGAACATGAGCTAGCTAACGTTTCTCCTCCCCGACAAACAACCAAAAGCTAAGACAAATGCCACTATAAGATTGTTTATTTGCATTTAATTCAATGTGAAAGAGCCGAAATTACACATAATGCCCTATTTTCACCTGCAACTCGGTCAGTATGGCCTCCGTCCGCCCCCTTCCTCATCCCAGCTGTAGCCCGACACTCAACAACAAGAAGCAGCTAGCTTCGAAGCTAACAAACCACCGCGGCCGAAACACACACTCAAGTGTCCATAAACGCACCAGTAGTGGTCCTACTCACTTTTAAGACTCCCATGCATAGGTCTCGCTCGTTGCTAGACTTCCGTGTTTGAGTTAAGCCGATAATTTTAAAAATATTTCCCTTTCCAATGGAGTCCACACGGTTTAACAGCTCTCTCGGGTTTGTTTTGTTTTTCTCCTTCCTGACGGGTTTCTGGAAAACGCGTGACTACCCGACCAACGTGGTGCACCCACCAGCCAATGGGAGAAGAGCTCCGAGCTGGAGAAAAACACTTTTTAATATTTTTGCAGGTTTTTATAGGTTAAAAGTAACAGTGTATAGTTGCAAAACAGCGAGAAGATGGCGAATATTGTATTAAAAAGATAACAAACATTAAAAGAAAAGTAGCAGAGTTATAATGTTTACTAAGGCTTGCATAACGATAATGTATTCTTAGTATACTTCCATATTATTTTTGAGTAACTAGCCTGCTTCATTACTTTGATATTTATTTCATGCAATGAACAGTTTTTGCTTTGCTTTGTTTTATAAACTGTTTGAGAAAGTACTCCACCCCAGCTTTCGTTTCGCTTGAAAATCGAAACTAATGTGGCAAATGTAATACTAAGAAAGCAATGTACATGAAAAAAATTAGACAATTAAAGAGACGCTAAAGCTCAACCTTTTACAGAAAAAAAGGGGACGAAAATAAGATGCAAAGCTTTTCTTTCAGTTTCAAAATTGCTCAGGAGTAGTAAGTGAAAGTTAAAATGGTGAGTTAGTATGGAGGTCCAAAAGTGCCGAAGTTTATAAAGGAAATAAAAATCATCAAAGAGTTACTTGAGTAATGAATTAAACATGAAAATAATACATTAGCAATGTATAGTTTATCAATAAACAATATTATACCATACCATACCAACTTTATTTATAAAGCACTTTAAAACAACCACAGCTGATACAAAGTGCTGTACATCAAAACACAACATAATAAAATAAAAAACATAAATAAATAAATAAATAAATAAATAAATAAATAAATAAATAAATAAATAAATAAATAATCTTATTAGCAAGTCAAAAAATATGACAGATGAATCAGATAATGATAACCAATTATGAAGGTCCAAAAATGCCTCTACTTATAGATATATATTAAAAAATAATTATTAATTGTGTTGGAAATTAATTTAAATTTTATAAACAACAAATTACATTTTTTTAAAATATGTACTGAAAAAAGTATATAAATACATAGTACATATTGATGTGTGTGACTCACATCAATAACTGTTATCAATATCTATCAATGATCACAATGTCCGGTTTGTTGGCCAGTGGTATTTCTGGATGTCTATCTTTGATTCACTGTTTAGTTTCCAAGTACTGTGTCAGTAATTGTGAAACTGAAAGAAATGGTTTAGCGTTTAGATTTTTTGCTCCTTTTCTGTTTCTTTCTGTATTTCCAGTAAGTTTGAGATAATTAGGTTGATCTCTAAACAGTACACATAACCAAAGAAATAATAATTTTTCACATAGTGTCTTAAAATTTTTCACATTTAAATATTTAAGTATGCATTATTGACATTTAATAACAGATACACTGCTTTCTTTATTTGAAGTTTTATTTTAGTGATGGCATGGATAAATAACAGAATTTATTTTATGTTCTGGCACTTTTTGCACTCGATATGTCTTAAAGCTGTTTTCGTTTTGTCCAAACAACCACAACTAAGCCAGTGAACAAAACAATATCACAAGACTTTTTTCCCCAAATAATTTTATTTCTGCCCATTGAGAGACAAAATCTATTCCTTGAGGAGATTTTGGTCCACACTGTGTAAATAAACACATCCATGACAAACCTAAAGTGCCCAACAACACGTTTCAGAATCTAGAAAAAAGTAAAACATTTACACATTAAGAGTTTCAAAAGAAGTGTCTATTAATCTGCTCCATATTTCAGTTGATTGAATACTTACAACACACAACCTGCAAAGTATGAAGATCAACATATTGAGAAGATGTAGAGTAATAAAAACTCAGAATGTGTGTAAGTTCTGCGGAATTTCATAGCTGGCAAAGAATTGGGACTTCTCAGGAATTCAGCGCTGCTCGGAAGCCTTCCCGTGTTTTTTCTGTTAAGTTCTGCTGCTAACAATTACCGCTCATTTCTAGGGATTTTCATGCAGAAAGTACTGAACAAGCTTTACTTTAAAAGTAGAAAGTTTAAGAAAAAAATGTTTTCATTATGATTAAATGTCAATTTATAAAACAACTTGCTGTTTTTCTGTTTATGCATTTTAAAAATGGGCAAAAAACAACTGAAGATTTACCAGGATGTGGACGAATTTGAATTTTTTTCACTTCATCTGTAAATGTCAACGTAAATGAGTAACTTCTGTAGGTTTGGAGTAGTTAACACTCATTATAATTTGTTTTTGAAGCACCATGTTAGAACCCAAAACACCACTGATTTTTCCCTGCCAGTCATCACAACCAATTCTTCAAAGACCCTGGAATAGTATGAGCTACAAAACATTTAATTCCCCTTTGGGATCAATAAAGTATTTTTCAAATGAATGTGCTCACACAGGCCTCCCATTCAATGAGTGAATGTGAGAAATTTACCAAACAAGAAAAGGAGAAAAGAAAAAAAAATAGCATACAGGAAAAAATAGAATAGCAATAAAAGACAGATAAACAATACTAAATACAAGATACACTTTTCAGTTTTAAGTTAAAAAACATTGATAATGTTCCTTTTTCTATAATTATTCACCACTTTGTGTTAGTTTGTTGCATAAGCCACCCAAAATTTGTGGTTATAGTTAAGGCATTGCACATGCTAATTATTAAACACATTAGTAAAGTTTGTTTTCACTTATGCACAAACAAGATGCAGATCGTTTTTAACTTTTAATCCACTCTGCGAAAATGTAATTATTGAAGGGACTATGCTACAGTTAGAAGATTCACTGATTATCTCATTGTGTCATCAATCTCAGATAGCTCTGCTTATGAACTCGAGGGGGAGTTCATAAGCAGTGAGGCACCTTGATGCAAGTTGTACACAATTTATAAGATTATGAGATAAATGAAGTTTTATCACAAGACAAAATCACATTATTTATTAACAAAAGCCTCTTTCAGTCACAAGATATTCAGATGACAAGTCAGAAGACAAGAAAAGCGTTTTATTCTCCGTTCACCAACATTTACAGCTCAAACCCAGAAGCAGATCAACGTCATCCTTTAAAGTTTTACATTTTCAGAGAAGGGATGTGCTTAGTGTCGCTCTCATGCTTCACTGGAAAGAAAATGTGTCATGTATATTATCAGCAACAGCAGATCAGCGCTCGGTTTTGTTTTCTGTCCAGTGTGAAAGCTGACTGGCTCCAGTCCCTGAAAAAAATTCTTTCCGCTGGATTATGCAACAAAAACAGGAAGGGGGAATCGTTTAAAAAAAGAAGAAGAAAAAAAGGCGACGGGAAAGAGCATAGCACCAGTGGTCACTGCGATAAGTCACTGCATAGCTGTGATTACTCCATTATCGAGATCCCATCATGAGAGGTGAAGGAAACTATCATCACATTTACATTTTAATTTACTAAAAGCCCTTTGAACAGCTAATTTATTACCCTAATTCAGCTTAAAATTTTAATTTACTCATTTACCATATCAAGAGTTTTAGTTCATTAAATTAATGCAGCCAATAAAAAAACCTGTTTCTGAGACAGTTTAAATATAAAAAAAAAAAGCAAAACATAAAATAGCTTCTAATACAGAAATGTTATGTAATCACCGGAAAGACTCTGACTTCCAGCTTATCCAGCATACAGTGGCTGACATAATAATCCATAAAAGAAGAAGCTGGCTGGTCATAGAGCGCTGTATAGAAGCATTTTAATGGAAAGCTTAGTGGAAGGAAAAATGTGGTAGATAAGGTTTAGTTGCAGCTTCTGAGGATTGTGACTGAAGCCTATTCAAGAGTTGAATTTTCAGGATACAGACTTAACATTTCATATAGTCACGTTCCACAGTACAGCTGCACACAGAACCGTTTCTTTTCTTGTTTTAAATCCTTTTTGCTCAGTTGCAAAAAGATTAAAGTAGATTTTGCATTTTAGTTGGAAGTCAAGGTCCCAAAGTCTCAATGAAGATGAGAGAGAATCAGAATCCAGATATTTGTGAAGTTTCCACATTTGGTTTTGACTGGGGGAACCACATCAAAATATTTTGTGTTAAAATAAGTTTTTATTGGTTCTTATAAAATATGCTAACTTTGTTAAAGTTATCAGAAATATATTTAGTTGCGTGTTTAATCAATCTATAAATCATAAGAGCTTTACTTTCTGAATTAAAATATTGAACATTTCTAATGTTGCTCTAATTTATTGGGACTGACTGGTGAATTTAAACAAGTAGCTAATTTATCTGAGTTTTTCTTTGGCAAATAAAACTGCAGCAGACCCCCAAACGAAGGACATGCTGGACCATCTATGTACAAACTGAGTTATTATAGTTACATGAAGTAATGAACATTCACCACATCTGAAAACTAAGAAGCAAAGCAACAGTCCAGACACTTCAAAGCAAAAATATAAACTGGCTGCTTGGCATTCTTCTTTGTGTGGAAAGATTAACAAAAATAAAAAACACCCCATTAAAGTCCTGCAACATGCATCAATTCTCCTCTAATTATTTTACAGGCAAAAGCAACTTGGAAACTAAAACATTGTTTTATGTTTGTTTAAAAAGTCTCATAAGTTCTCATTTTATTTCAGTTGATTTATGACTAATTTACAGCAACAGGCAAGTTTTATTTTAGAAACGTCGTCAAGACACTTCAAGAAGCTTGGAATCCTTTGATTAAAGATCCTAAGGCTAAATATCTGCAAGTTAAGATAAACTAAACCATACACATTCACAGTTTCCCCCCCAAAAATCCTTTTGAGATAAATTTTTACAGCTGACTTTTCCCCACTTTGAATTGATTGGATCATAGCTCCGTCTTGATCCGGTGCATGAGATCTTTCTGGTCCACCATGTCCGTCTGTTTGTTCCAGCGGTGGTACGCCAGCAGGGCGATGTTCTTGGCTGCCACCGAGCTCATCTCCATGGCGCTGCCGGCCCACTCGATGCCGTTGAGGTAGTAGAGGTTGGGGTGCAGCTCCACAGGTGGCAGGCCCTGGCTGCTGCCGTAGTGAGGGTAGGCCTGCCACTCCGTCACCTGGGCTGAATAGTACGACCTGCAGAGGTCCAGAAGGACGACATTTATAACTCACTGCGGTACAACGTCACGTACAGAGGTGGGCGGAGAAGTCAAAAACTTGACTCAAGTAAGAGTAACACTACTTCAACCTATTTTAACTCAAGCAAAAGTAAAAAGCAGCTGTCCAAGAAATTATTCAAATAAGAGTGAAAAAATATTTGGTAAAAAGTCTATGCAAGTACTGAGTAACTGATCAACTTATTAATCATTTAATATTTAAAAATTACATCATCAGGTGGACCAAAATATAGAGATAAGTGGAAATTTAAGGACTAAAAAAAGACAATAATTCATATAAGTAGCAAAAAATAACCAAGTCATAGAAAAGAAATGTTTCCAAATCAGTTTCTTTCATTATAAAGCTGTGAAACTTTGACCAAAGCTGCAGGTCTGTGTCTGCGTCTGGTGAACTTCTGGTTAAAACATGTTTGTTTTTCATAAAGTGGGGAGAAAATCCAGAAACTTTACTCAAGAGTAGAAATACTTCATAAAATTACTCTCACAAAAGTAGAAAGTACAGCGTCGTAAAAATACGCCTAAAAGCAAAGTTTTTCAAAAAAGTTACTCAAGTGAATGTAACTGGGTAAATGCAACTAGTTACTACCAACTCTGATCAAATATGCGATACTGTAAAAATCTGCCCACTAACTATGATTAAACAGAACCTGTATAAAAGCATGAAGTTGGCTAAAAGAGCTCATAAAGTCACACATAAAATCCCTGATCTGAAGAATTTCAACAATGGATGAAAAGCCACTCGCTGTGTTTCCATTGTTGATACAATTGCCCAAATTTGATATTTCAAAAATAAATTTGCTTAACTGAAACAGGGCAATTTCTTAAAAAAAATTCTAATCGTTCAATGAAAATTTGTGGCACTAGGATGCGGTGGTTATTTGGCCAAATTGAAATCGGTTTATTTTGCAGAACTGCAATGGAAACACGTTTTTCACGTCAGATGAGTCACATGATCAACAACCAAATGTTGCAGGTCTTCTGGTTCTGCATCCTTAGAACCAGAAACAAACATGGAGAAGCAGCATTCGGCTTTTATGCACCACAAATCTGGAACAAACTTTAAAATCTTGTTTTAAAGTAACATATTCGATGTTGACCAACATATTTGATGTGCACAGGTGATTTTGAAGGTTTTCTCAGTTGTTGACTGTACGCCATCTTTTATGACTTTGTATTTTTGTGTTTGCTTTGTTGTTGAGCTATACAAATAAACTTGACTGACTTTATTCAACTGACCTGAAAAGCGTTTTGAGTTGCGATTTGTCCAGAGATTGAGGTGAAAACACCTTGTAGATGCCGGCTTCCTGTGGCTGCTTGCGCCGGAAGCCGGCTGAGATGTTGACGGGACAAACGCTGGCCACACTGTTGAAGAACAGGCTGGGCGTTTCGGTCGTGAGGACGCTGGCGAACGGGAACAGGCGGGGGTCCGGGAAACCAAAGAAAGACGTGTTGAGGTAGCCGTGAACGATTGTTGCCACGGTGCCGTGATAGCTGCCGGGCAGCTCGTCGAAGGGAGGGGCGAAATCCTGGAACTGGAGTCCCGAACCGACGCTGGCCTGAAGCGGAGTCGCCAACACTACGATGTCGTACAGCTCCGATCCGACTCCTGATGCTGCAGTGAAGTTCAGCTGATACTGCAGCAGCTCCCCTGAAGTACAGGAGTGAGACGGAGGAATGAGAGAAGAGTGTAGTATTATCTAAAAAATTAGTAATTGATATATATCTGAAATATGGCCATATTAGTAATGTGACCTTCTTCGTTTTATCCACAATTTTCACTCCACACCTTTGCTTTTTATTTTTAAGCAGTTATGAGGCAGAGTGGCAAAACCTTAAACTGCTACTGCACAAGCTCTCAACAGGCCGTTGCTAGGTAACCAAAGTTATGGGGAACTTGAAACTGCTTCTTCTTACCCAGCAGGCTGTTGCTAGGTAACCTTGCTTAGCTCGCTGTGAGAGGATAAACTCTTTTCTCTGCCTACATTCCCCAGAATGCTGTGCGGTTCTGGATCAGAGTTCAGTGAAATTATTGACAGTTCTAATCAGAAGTATTATCTACTGGTATTGATCACAAGTCTATCGCAATGTAAATGTCTAAAAGACGTAAATGTAGACAGGAACCTGTTTTAACACAAAGTTTTCTGTTTAAATGTATTGAAAAATAGAAGTCAAACTATTAATCCTGTTCTTTGACTAATTTATTAATGCTGAAACCTAAAAAACAAATAAAAAATATTTTTCTTTCTTGATGGCTATAATAATACGTTTTCAGGGCTTAAGAAGGGAAAGCAGGAATTTAAAAGTATTTTTAGCTGCTTAAATTCAGACGTTGTTATCCAACTAGCAGGAGCCTTGGATCCGTCTCCATTTGTTTCCCATCACTGGTGTTGTGGAGCTCATATTTTTAAGAAATTTGAGCTGTGAAATGTAGTTTTATAGAGTAGAAATGTGAATGACATCAGAAACTAAACCCTTCTGCAGCATTGACATTTTGAAGTGACCAGAATCATAAATGTACTCTAAAGTGGCTGCTTTATTTCAGTTATGTTTTCTGATGACGAAAGCAGTAAAATCTGTGAATGAAGGGACAAGCTATGCTGGTAATTTTACAGTTATGTAAGCAAAGAGAACAGGGGAGAAGAAAATGTATTTAATGCATTTAACATGGTTGAACTGAATTTAGAAATAGTTCGTGCTCAGGATGAATCAGCAGAAAACTGCTGATCCCTCATTTTCAAAATGGCTAATCCTCTCCACACAGCAACACAAAGTCAAACCTAAATTAAACTGGACTGGAGATTAAAATAATCTTTTTTCAGAAAACATCAGTGGAGGTATACCTGAGTGGAGCGGGGAGATAGATGTGACCTGAGCCTTCAGTAAGTTAGCGTTAGCCATCTTCAGGAGTCCTGAACACACCTGCTTGTTTCCTCCTTCCACCGCCCACAGGTTGTTCTGGGCACCAGCCAGAGAAACAGCGCCTGAAAAAAAAAAAAAAAAAAAATATATATATATATATATATATATATATA